AAGGGAAGTAGAGGCACTGGGGTTCCCTCACACAAAGGCAAGAGGAACCCTGAGTTAAAGCTAAAAGCAGTTTTTATACAGTTTAAGGGGTGGATTAGAGGAACAGTGACTAGGCACAATATGATTGGCAGAACAATGTGACTTTTAAACTGATTGGTCTTCGGGAATGGGTTGGCAAGGACTTCCCTTGTCTGTAAGTGACAAGGGTTGGTCCTGCTGGTCCTGCGGGGATGTGTCTACGTGCTCTGGGCCTTCCCCACCCACAGGTGGGTTCCCTTCTCTGTGGTCTGAGGAATGTTAATCAGCCTCTCCTTTCTTCCGCTGAATGTTAATCCAGCAGGGGTCCTCTGACTAAGGAATGTGCCCCTCCCTGGATGTGTCCTGGGGCAGCTAATTTTTAAATTTAACGAAAACCTGAGATTCTTACAATTTTAAGTATAAACTGAGACCTGAAATTCCTACAAAAACAGCTCTCCCAGGAGGTCTTTTTCTTATCAAAGTGGTTGGCAGGTTTATAGCTCCACCTTCACAGGAGCTGGAAATTGCATGTCTTTGTTACTTGACCTAGGGACACCCCTCAGAAGGCATGCTCTCCTTACATGCTAAAGAGAGAGGCAGAATAATTAGTTGCTCTAATGAGATACCATAGTTGTTCTCCCAAGAATCCCTGCCCCTAGTGCAGCAGCCGATGGCCATAGCCACGGAGGTCTGTAAATCCTCCCACTTTTCTGAATTAGTCCTTTCCCTTTTCTTCTGTCTCTCTTCTAAGCATGCTTTCCTTTATACTCCAGGATCGTCTCTCCAACATTTTCAGCTCCCCTACTCTTTCTTTAAAACCTTTTTCCTTGCCACGTGGCTACTTGTCTGCCATGTATTGGACCCCATTCCAGTTTAAAATGACCCTTTCCCTTTCTCTCCTCCATTCTCCACTTCCCAGAAGCTGCTGAGACTTTACAGCCTGCTTGCCCTGAGGTTTTCCTTTTTAACTTGAAAATGACCTTGAGATTCTTATATTTTTGGTTGTGAGCCTAGCTTTTAACGGCTGAGCCATCTCTCCAGCCCGACTTTGAGATTCTTAAGGATAGACCTTGAATCTGTCCTTAAATTACTTTATTAATGAGCCTAATTCCCACCCCGAAGACCTCAATTCATCCTGTATCATTGGCATACACCTATGAGAGGCAGAGGCAAAAGGGTAAGGAGATCAAGATCATCCTCAACTACATAGTGAGAGTTTGAAGCCAACCTGGGCCAAAACAAATGTGGAGAGCTTTGGGGGCCACTTGGCAGGAATCTGACATTGGCCAAGGACAAGGAAATAGGCTTCAGGGAGGAATCTGACATTGGGCCATGACAAGGAAGTAAGGTCAGGCAAGAATCTAATTTTAGGCTAAAACAGGGAAGTAATTTCAGTCAGGAATCTAAATCTTAGGCTAGAACAAAGAAGTAAGCTTCAGGCATGAAAATGACTTTCAGCTGGGACAGGGAAGTAGGCTCAGATACTTTGGTCATCCTGACAAGCTATTAGAAACAGTGATGAAGAGCGCTTATTGCCTTGCTTGTTCCTTGACTATTTGCATTTATTGTATTGCTAGCTCCTCAACCTAGAACTGACCTAAATACTTGCATGTAATTAAAATGGTATAAAAGCAGGTTGGGGAAAAAAATAAATCCGCCTCAGTTTCAGAACTGGCTGGGATCATGCTACAATGTTGTCTAATTGTCTTTTTTCTTTTTAACCCTCACTCCTGCACTGGAGAACCTGTTGACTGACTGGGCTGGCCTGGTCAAACAAAACACAAAAGGGGGAACCCAAGGGGTCCTAGCAACAGGACAGCCAGTATGACAGTGGAGCTGAGGGGTAATGAAGGAGAGGGTAAGCTGAAGGAGATCCAAGTAGATACTATACACCAGGTAGGCAGGATTCAAACCAGGTAGAAAGGGGGCTGTGGGACATTTGTCCCAAAGAACTCACTTTGTTGACCAGGCTGTCCTCGAACAAGAAAGAACTTTCAATCTTTGTCCCTCAGCCTCCTGGGTGCTAGCCTTACAGACATTTGTCACCAAGCCTGAATCTCATTGAACATATCAAATGAGACCTGGACCCTAGGAAATAAATATTTGAGACTGATTTTATAACACCTACAGTGTGGATAAAACATATTTGTTTGTACTGCTGTGGCAAAATACCAGGGACTGGTTAGCTCATACAGAACACAAGTTTATCTCTCATAGTTCTGGAGACTGGTAAACCCAAGGTCAAAGCTATGGCTAATTCAGTACCTGGTGAGTGCTCACTTACTGATATATGGACATTGTCTCTATGCTAAGTCCTCAACATGTCAGACACGGGAAATAAACTCTCCGGGTTCTTTGTTGTGAGACGACCAATCCCATTCATAAAGGCTCCCTCATCCTGCCCTCATTATTTCCGAAGTCTTTAACCTCAAATACATTCACATCCAGGATTAGGTTTAAAATGTGAACTTTTGGATATAACCAGTCTGGCAGGGATGCAGATAGTCTAAAGACAATGTGTCCTTCCTTTCAAACATGTGGCTGTGAATTAAGGCACCTCCAAGATTTGGAATTGTACCAGGAATCTCATGCTGAGAGACAGACACTGAAACCTGGTGCCAGCCAGGGGAACTTGTCCCCAGAAAAGTTATTTCATATACTTCTAATGAAGTGTTGGGTCACCTTGTGATGTGAGACTACAGACCAGACAGTGATGGGTTAATGAGGAAGCTAGACCTCAGCCCAACTATGCATATCTCTTGTCTTCTGTTTAAACATTGTTCTCATGTGAGGAGTCTGAAGGTAGCCTTGGGAACTGCTAGACCTCTTTGTCCTTCTTATCAATGTGGCCATATTGAATAAATCTCCTTTCCTCCTCCTGCTTCATGGTATTTGGATCTTTTAGATACCTTGTTAAACAGGCAGCTGACCATGGCTTGTTAGGGGTATGAGGGGGACACAGGTTCTGACGGTAACTCTGGTAACAGCCTAGGCTAGCCTGAGTCCCCTTCCCGCCTTGGCCTGGCTACCCTAGCCCTAACCCTAGACCTTGCTTTGTAGACCAGGTTAGCTTCATATTTACAGAGATCTGCCTCCAAGAACGGGGATTAAAGACATGTTTTATAGTGGAAGTTGGTGGGAGGTACAAGGAAGAGGGGAGGGAGGGTTGGGTTGTTTTATATGAGAAAAGAATAAAGAAAAAGTAAAGAAAATGCACAGAAAGTCTCAACTCTCTTGCATACAGGAGTCCCCTGGCCATCTCAACAAGATTCAGGGTCTGAGCTGAGATTCTGTATAATCTTGGGCTGAGCCTGCTGATGTTCAGACCACACATCTGCAAGAATGTAGACCAGGATCACAGCTGGTAACATTAGTCATTCTAGAAGCAGATTGTATCCCCTACACCTGCAGTACCAGCACTCAGATGAAAGCAGAAAGATTTACAGGAGTAGATGTTGTATCACACACTTCTCTCATGAATATATAAACAAAAGAAAACAAAACAAAGTCTGAAAGAAGCAACTTAAGGCAAGTAGAATTTGTTTTGGCTTTTGATTTAAGAAGGTACAATCCATCCTAGCAGGAAAGGCAAGGTGGAGTTCACGGAGCTGGAGCATGCGGCTGAGATGACTGAGTTCTCCATGCACCAGGAGCAGAGTGTGGAGATGCTGGCTCTAATCTGGCTTCCTCTTCTTCCTCCCTTGTCTTCAATTTGGGCCCCTAAATCATAGGTTGGTGTCACTCACATTCAAATAGCTCTCCTTCCCTCAGTTAATCTCTGGAAACATCATAGACATTTCCAGAATTGCAAGTCCCGGGAGATTCTAAATCCAGTCAAGCTGACAATGAAGATTAGCCATCACAGCTACATAGTGAGTTCCAGCCCAGCCTGGGGTACAGCATGAGAACCTGCCAAAAGGAGGAGGGGGGAAAAGGTAATATATGGCCTCCCTGCTTTACAGTCTAAGACAGTGGGCATCTGGGAAGAGGTATGAGGATTCTGTAACAAGGTTTGAGGCCACTGATGGCAAGCGATTGGAGCAGTACCCACAACAAGGAACAGTCTCAAGTGGGAATACAGTATTTTACCCTGAGAACATAAGGACATATGGACCTGTCATCAACCCTGAGTTATTTTCTCTCCCACTGAGTATAGTCTCAGGCACAAAATATAGTAAGCAATTTACATGATGAAAGTCTCTTGCTGGTTGCTATCTGAAAATTCCCTCAACTCACAGACACAGTGTAATCTAAATTCTTATCATTTAAACATAACAAAATTTTATATGGGACATTAGAGGCTTATAGATTTTTTTTTTATTTTAGAAAAATTCAAAACCCCAAGCTTGAGCCTTCATATTCAGGGACAGAACACAAAAGCCAAACAACACCAGGTCCTATGCAAGATACAGGACTCCTGCTACAGTGGAGCCCAGGACTCGGACTGTGCCCAGCTGCAGGAATGTTTAACCAAATGATGGAGGGGGAGGGACTAGGTCTCTGTTTCCTTTCTAGACTTTCAGTGCTGGCAGGGAATTGAGGTCAAGGGATGGAAATAAAATGATAAAGTTAACATCCTTTTCCATCTCTGGGAGGATAAAGGCAGAGAAAAGGAAGCAGGTTCCAGAGGAAACTCCTAGTCATAGACCTCGGGCAATAATCCAGGGGTATGGTTACAGACAGACCTGGAACAGGGTCAGGAAACATGAGGAAAGGATTTGTACAGGAAAAAAAAAAAAATGGAGTGGCCTTCCAAAGGCCTGCTCCTTCTTCCTGGAGACTCTGCCTCAGATTTGTATCCACGTCAACAGATTCCTCAGTGTGAAATCCCTTTCCTCTATTTCCAGGTGTTCCTTACAGAGTTAGTTTAAAAATCACCCTTGAGTGGCTAAAGCACACGAATGGATACACTTTATAGTAACAAGAAAGAAGATGGGCACATTTGTATCCAGGGATTGAAGTTTCTCAGTAAGACCCAAATCTCAAACACCGTCCTTACCTGCACTCTTCCTCCTCATCACAATGGCAGCCACAGGTCCAGTGACCAAAACTCCAAGGAGAACCAGACCAACAGTGATCCCAGTGATAGGGGTGGAGCCGGAGGGAGGCGGTGGCTCTGGGAGAGAGACAGTAGGGGAGGATAGAAGTGAGAGACAAGCTCAAGGTCTGCAGAAGGGCTCCCGCTTTCCCCCAAGGACAGATACAATGACTACACACACACCCTTTACCCCATTTCAGGATGAGGGGCTCAGACAGCCCCTCATGCTCCACATGGCATGTGTATCTATGCTCTTCTCCTGAAGGCACCACCACAGCTGCCCACTTCTGGAAGGTCCCATCCCCTGAAGGCCTGGTCTCCACAAGGTCCATGTCCTGGGTCAGGTCTTCCTCATCCCTCTGCCAGGTCAGGATGATGTCAGCAGGGTAAAAGTCCAAGGCCCAGCACCTCAGGGTGACGTCACCTTCAAGTGTAGGGTGATGGGTCACATTTGTTTTGGGGGGGTCTGAGGAGAAGAGTCAGAGGAGAACAACCTTCTGTTCTTTCCTGTGGACTATATGGGCATTAGTCATGTGATCATCCCCATAGTTGGGTTGAAAATTTAAACAGTATGGACTTAAGATGAAGAAACATCTATTCCTTGTATCTATTCCTGATCTGTGATGAGATCAAAATGGAACTGGCATTCATTCTTCAGAGTTAGTACCCCTTCATCCCCAAAAAGATGAAGTCAATGTTATGCTTTGAATGTAACATGTTTCCACATGGCTCAGGTGTTTGATACTTTCTATCTGGCGATGCTGATGGTTCTAGTGGAATATTTAGGATGTAGTAGTAGCTGAAGGGAGTTGGTTACTGGGAGGTGGGCCTTGAGAGTTATAAACTGTTTCCAGTTGTCCTCTGCTGCCTGGTTTGCCCAGAGGTGAGCAAGGGCTGTGGCCCTGAGCTACTCCCACCCCTGTGTGCTTCCCTGTGAATTGTTAGTTGATGGTTGGAGAAACAGAGTATGTTCTTCTTCCCTGAAGGTGCTTCTCTTCAGGTACTTTGTCACTGGGATGAGAGAAACAACTTATACAGTTCTTGAAAGAAGGTGGATCCTGTGGGATCTGGAAATCAGGAAGGCTTCCTCTGCTCCAGACCAATGAGAAAAGGATGTCTAGTAACTTTCTGGAGAGGCATATGCAAGTATCTGTTCATCCCAGATGGGGCACCAATGGGAAATGTCTCAGTACTGTTCAATTACTGTGACAAGATGCCATGACCAAGGCAACTTATAAAAAGAAGGGAGCAAGCTAACTAGAAATCTTTTGAAATCTCAAAGCCCACTGCCAGTGACAGACTCCTCCAACATGGGCACACACCTAATCCTTCACACACAGTCCGCTCTGAAAACCAAACATTCAAATATGAGAGGTGGGATGTGAGTGTGTGTGTGTGTGTGTGTGTACATGTACAGCACATATCGTATTGCCTCAGACTATGCAGCCTTTGTTTCATAGAGGAACGAGCAGTGACAGCACTCAATTTCTTTACGTCTACATAACTCAGATCCCATCTGCATCCATGCCCCATAGCCTTGAGAGCCCTGTGTATGGACTGTTTAATTTTTTTTTTAAATATTTATTTATTTATTTTATTGATGAGTACACTGTAGCTGTCTTCAGACACACCAGAAGAGGGCATCCAATCTAATTACGGATGGTTGTGAGCCACCATGTGGTTGCTGGGATTTGAACTCACGACCTCTGGAAGAGCAGTCAGTGCTCTTACCCGCTGAGCCATCTCTCCAGCCCCAAATTTTTTTAAAAGCTTTTGTTTCAAGAAGTTCAGAGGCAGAAGACTCCAGATTATCAAGGTTTCCGATACTGAATCATTAGTAAGGCATATGCATGATGAATCATAGGGTTTTTCTCTGAATTAAAGCTTGGCCTGAGGGGTATTATTTTTACTTCACTTTCTTTTTCTTTACTGTCTTAGTCTTACCACAGTTTCCACGTCTTTGGATTCCAGGGGCACAGATGTAATTTCTACTCTTTCCTTTATGCCTCCCTTACCCTCCACCTCCCAGCCATAAGAAATGGTAAGCCAGCACCTCAATTCTGGCTTTCCCCCTTTCTGTTTACCACTCCAATTTGGAGTTAGCACAAAAAGGTAGCATGTGCATGTCTTTTTCCCATTGTAATTCTTCCCTTAGGTAGGCAAAGTCTTTCTGGAAAGATGGCTTAGCCCCAGTTGCAAGTCTCAACTGCCCACAGCAAAAGCCACAAAACTGCTGTCACTGTCTGCTTAGGATCCTGCCCCACAGGTGTTATATCAGAAATTGCTGTTGGTGTTGGGATAGATCTCATGCCATGTTGAGGAAGACAACCACCCTGGCATCCCCAGTATAGGTATCCATACATCTTCAGATGGAGCGGTCCCAGATGCCAGTCCTATCTTTACGTCAAGGGCAATGCAACTCTTAGCTGCCATTCCACACCAATGGAGAAAGCAGAGCCACATCAGTAATTTCCCGCATGGATGGTTTGGCTTCAATTTCATGTCTTATATCCCATAGCAAGAACCATGAGGCTGATCCTCTCAGGCCCATTTTGGTCCTGCTGTGTTCCCACTCAGGTGCAGAGTGTTTTATTCCTTTCTCTGGAGAGTTACGATAGCTATCTACTCACCCCAGGAAGGACTTCAACAACAAACCAAATGAAGGATCCCATCCAAGCCCATCTTTACCATCCAACACTAGTTTGGCAATCCCATAAATGTATTGAAGATTACTTATAGACACCTGAGTGAGGAGTTACTTAACACTCATAAACACCTACAACACTGAAAAGTCCACTCCAGGATGAATGACAGCTCACAAAAGCTGCCTCACTGGAGTGTACCCACACACACACACACTCACCCATCTGCCTTCCTCTGCCACTTCAATGATGAGATTAAAGGCATCAGCCACTACATGCATACCATCAATTAACTGTATACACTAGTATCTCTGTAGATGAGGTGTTGCTTGTACTGGATTTCTTGTGATTGGGGAACATAGGAGGGTGTGAATGACTAGACTCTCCAGTGAGAGTAATCACAGCTATTCTGATTTTGAAATAGTAACAGCCCCGTACCTTGCTGAGCCTGGGGGACAGTATTTCACAGTAGGTGGCTTATGAATTGGTCCTGTTCTCTTTCCTTCCCATAAACTCTGCTCTAGGGTCAATAGAAGCTACCCCTCATACCTGCACGCTCAAGGATCTCCTTCCCTTTATCCAGGTATTTGAGAAGCCACTCCACACACTTGCCCTCCAAGAAAGACCTCCATGATGTAGCAACACCAGATGCCTCCCACTTGCGCCTGGTGATTTGAGCCTCTACGTTATCAACCGCAACCCAGGAGCGCAGGTCCTCAGACAGAGAGATGTAATCCTGGCAATCATAAGCGACGTGCTTATATCCACGGAGGAAGCGATGGTCTGGTCCTACGTCACAGCCAAATAGCCACTGGACAGTGTGAGACCCTGTTGAAGCCAAAGAGGTCCTAGGTTAGTCCCACTCATTGCACATAGCCTGCGCATGATTGGTCAAAGCCTATTTCAAACTGAAATGAAACCACAGTAAATTTTTCCAGAACGGCAGGAACTTGCGGATTTCACCAACCCAAGGTATACCATAGGAATATGCAGAGACTGTACACCAGCCTTCCGAGTATAGGGTCACTCACCATTCTCTCCCTGGCTATGGAAGCCCAACAGGGTCCACAGTTCGATTCGGCCAAGTATAAAGATCCCCCTGCCGAGGCGTGTCAACTCCTCTAAATGCTCAGGGTCCTGCGCTACAAATGACACCCGCGGCTCCACCCGCTGACTCGGCAAGTCGCTGTCGAAGCTCACGATCTGTGTGTCGTCCACGTAGCCCACGACGGTGAACCGAGGTTTGCGGTAGCCAGGACCATACAAGGTGGTGGTGAAATACCTCAGGGAGTGTGAGCCTAGGGGTGGTGAGGGGTCAACCCAGGTGGACCTGGGGACAGGTGGACCAGCCGGGAGTAGAGCTAGGACTCCGGACACGGATTGAAGAAGGAAACTTGGCAGAGGCTGACTAATTCTAGGAGGGGAGGGAGGGTTGGGCGATGGCCAAGATGTAGCTTTCCCAGTGCTGTCGCTGGTCAGCTCCCTCCCTCCTCCCTGCAGAAGGGGCCTCACTTTCCACCCCACACTCACCCGCGCCAGCCTGAGATGGGGCCAGGGCGGTCACCAGCAACAGAAAGAGGGACACCACGGACCCCATCCTCCGTGTTTGGAGAACTTGAAGAAGTTTGAGTCTTTGTTCCTCTTCATGGAGTTTTATAGCGTCGTGGGTATGTGGGGGCGGATCACCGTGACTCCTAGTGGTTCTTCCCACATACAACAGAAGTGAACATGTGGATGTCCAAACATTACTGGGGAAAGGGGGTTCCCATTTGTGGGTTCTTAGAGTGTTCTTGATTTAAAAAAGAAAAAAGAAAAAGAAAAGAAAGAAAAGAAATGCCAATAACAAAACTAGACTCAGAAGGACTCTCCAGATCCATTTCATTAGTTTGAGGACAGGGGGTGGGGGTGGATACAACAGCACTAGCAAGCCATAATCTTAGCAGGGGCTGTCTGGAGTGAAATAGAAGAGTAGCTCTTTGTGAGTTAGGGTCAGCAATGGAGGAATGTAAACAGCTGTATAATGGAGAAAAGAAAAAGGTTAACTAACCTTTTGGGTTATAAATCAGAAAAGCAACAGACTCAGCAGTGAATATCTACAAGGAACTGGATTGAGGGACTCCAGGAATGTAGTAAGTATATTATCTCATTTAGGGTATTATTATTCTATTTTCTTTGCGTGTTTTCAAATGACTAGCTTTCCAGAAGGGGTGTCTGCTGGCCAGCTGATTAACAGGTCTAGTTAGATTAGCTCCTAAGAAAGGGGGTGGGGGAGGGCGGGGCACTGGTATGCAATATTCTAATGTTTGGGACAGATCCGAATGGATAGTCTCCACTCTGGTCAGATGTGGAAATTAGATTCCTTTCTTTTGATCAAAAGCAAGTTACCCGCAAAGTCCTACCTTCTCATATGGTAAATGGCAAGCTGCCTAACACTGACAGTCGCTCCTGAGAACAGACGGCTTCCAGAGCTAGAGAAATGAACTCTGGGGCCACAAGGAAGCTTAGACAGCTTGAAAGCAAGACCCAAGACCAGGTACTTTGCCCACAGCTCCTCCTCCTGCACCTAGACTCCTTTACCACAGTGTTTCCCAGAGTCCTGGTGGAGAGCTGTGTGTGTCAGGAAGTCCCAACATTTTGGTTTCAGGATCTCTGTATGTTCTCACAGATTATCGAGGACCTCAAACAGATTTTATGCAGGGTACATCCATCGATCTTTCTCCGGTTAAAAAGTAAAATAACAGGCTGGAAAGATGGCTTAGCAGTTAGGAGCATGTGTTGAGTTCAGTTCCCAGCATCTACATCTTGCAGCTCGGGACAAATGGCTGAGGTGCCTGTTTAACATACCAAAGTGGAGTGGCCTCCAGATTCTTCCTTCATCCCTTAATTGCAACAGGATGTGGCTGGAGCACCCTCAACCCCTCTCCACTCCACCCCACCCCCACGCCCAACCCTCTTAGGCTCTTCCTTATACAATCTAGGCAGTTTGGTTACCTCCCCTTTTTTGTACCTCTGAGCTCCTGGCTGCTGCTCCTCTTCTCTCCCTTCTCCTCCCCCTCTCCTGACACGGGCCAGCTCACTCTGGACTCTTTCAGATGTCTCTGCCTCTAGCTGTGCTCTCCCTTTTTATCTACAATACATTTTTCCCCACTATACCTAGGAGCAGTCATGTCCTTTCCTTTTTATTTTTTCTTTTCATTCAACAGCCACCTATAACTCAAGCTCTAGGGGAATCCTTGCAAAGTCTTTGAATATACTTTGAATAAACATGACCTCATCTCTCCTGTAAACCTTTCCTGCTCAGTGAGTCTCCTGTCATGTAGCTCTGTTAGATCCACTGAGCAGCCTTCCCTTTCTATGTGCTCTGCCTGCATGATGTATGTGTACCACATGAATGAAATGCCCACAGAAGCCATCAGATCCCCTGGGACTGGTATTACAGATGGTTGTAAGCCAGCATGTCTATGCTTGGCGTTGATCCCAGGTCTTCAGGAAGAACAGCCAGGTCCCTAACTGCTGAACCATCTCTCCAGTTCCCTAGGCCAGCTCTAGGAGCCTACTTTTAGGCTTTAAGGAAACCAATAAAACTATAAGTTACTACAAACGGGAAACAAAGAAGCAAGAACCATATTAAAAGCTCTGTTTTACTGTATTCACTGCTTTTGTTTGCTTTCTTTATGAAAAAGAGTTTGCCTGGGTCTATGGAATGAACGTTAAAGGTGTTTACCTGAAGAAAGCTTTGATCAGGATCTACACAACATATTTGATTCCCTCCTCCCACATACACATAAAAAGTTTTCAAAATTAATGTAACACTTTTAAAAATACTTAAAACATGGTACATTGTAGCCCATGTCAGAAAAACTAGCATATGAGAGGTTAGGCTGAAGAAGAAGGTTTGACATGAGTTTGAGGCTAGCCTGGGTTACATGAGACCCTTACTCAACCAAAGAAATGTAGATGAGGCTGGGCAATAGTGGCACATACCAGCCTGACCTACTAAGTGAATTCCAGGACAGCCAGGGCTACATGGAGAAACTCTATTTCAAAGAACCAAACCAAACCAAACAACACAAACCAACAGGAAGATAAGCATGCTTGTATTTTTCTACAATGTCACAATTGGATTTCAATAAATTCAGTAAATAATTCAGTTTCCATGGTGGGAATTTGGCAGGTAACATTGCTTTTCTTGTTAATCTAATTGAAGCAAACCCATATCTGTTTATTCCAATCTTAATTGCTAATATTCATTCAAAAATGACATATCACACAGTAAATATATGTATAGGTGAGGGTCACAGAATAGATTTGAAGATGAAGGAGGTTGCAGTAGAATTTCATGATGCTTCAGAAGTGTACTTATAGAAATGTAAAATGCGGGGGGGATAGAGAGATGGCCCACGTTAAGAGCATCTTGGTTTGATTCTCAGCACTCAGGCCGTGGTTCACAAGCACCTGTAACTCCAGTTCCAAGGGATCTGACACTCTCTTCTGGCCTCCTCAGGCACCAGGAACACACAGACATACATGCAAGCAAAATATTCTTTTGTTTTGTTTTGTTTTGTTTTGTTTGTTTTTCGAGACAGGGTTTCTCTGTGTAGCCCTGGCTGTCCTGGAACTCACTCTGTAGACCAGGCTAGCCTCAAACTCTCAAACTCAGAAATCCGCCTGCCTCTGTCTCCCAAGTGCTGGGAGTAAAGGTGTGCGCCACCACTGCCCGCCCCCCCCCCCATAGAATTCTAATACACCCACAGGCCCCTACTAAATTTATAGCAGATGGTAATCTTCAACACTTGTAACAGGCTGGGGCAGGATGATTTATGAGAGTAGATGTATCCCCTAAACTATTGCATCACCCTCTTTTCTCATTAATGTAATAAACAAAACAAATGAAAAAAAAAAAAGACTAAAAGAATCAACAAGGCGCCAGGCAGTGGTGGCGCACGCCTTTAATCCCAGCACTTGGGAGGCAGAGGCAGGTGGATTTCTGAGTTCGAGGCCAGCCTGGTCTACAGAGTGAGTTCCAGGACAGCCAGGGCAACACAGAGAAACCCTATCTTGGAAACAAACAAACAAACAACAACAACAACAAAACAACAACAACAACAAAAAAAAAAACAGAAAAAACCCAAAGAATCAACAAGGCAAGAAGGATTTATTTTGGGATTTGACTTAAGAAGGTACATCTATCTCATCCTGGCTGGGAAGGCATGGTGGAGTTCACAGCAGCTGGTGCATGTGACTGGACTCACATCTCTCAACTCATCAGGAGCAGAGTGTGGGGATGCTGGCTCTCACCTAGCTTTCTCCTCTTCCTCGCATGTCTTCAGTCTGGGCCCCCAAAACATTCAGTGCAGCTCTCCCTGCCTCAGATTCATCTTCTCTGGAAACACCTTCACAGACATTTCCTGGGAGAGTCTAAATCCAATCAGGCTGACAATGAAGATTAACATTCACAGCTAACTAGTGAGTTCCAGCCCAGCCTGAGGTACAGTGTGGGACCCTGCCAAAAGAAATATGGGGGGAAGGGTAGAAGATGGCTGAGTAATTAACAACATTTGTTGGTTTTGCCAAGGACCAAGTTCAGTTCCTCCCATCAGCATGGTGGGAGTTACAACTGCCTGTAACTTCAGTTCCAGGGAATCTGATGTCTTTTTCTAGCCTCCTTGGGATGGTGCACACACAGTGCACATAAACTCAAGCAGGCAAAGATACATACACAAGTCACAGATACACAGATTAAAATAAGTAAGCAGAACTTTATAAAAATAAATGGCTAGTGAAATGGCTTAGTGGTTGAGAGCACTGGCTGCTATTGGAGCCGACCAGGGTTCAATTCCTAGCACCTACACTGTGGCTCACAACCATCTCTAGCTCCAGTTCTAGAGGACCCAACAAGTTTTCTGACTTCTGAAGGCTCCTTCATGCAGGCAGTACATATGCATACACATAAATAATAATAAAAATGGGCTGGAGAGATAGCTCAGCAGTTAAGAACACTGACTGCTCTTCCAGAGGTCCTGAGTTCAATTCCCAGCAACCACATGGTGGTTTACAATCATCTCATGTGATTCAGTGCCCTCTTCTGGTATGCCTGAAAAGAGCTGCAGTGTACTCACATACATAAAGTAAATAAATAAATATTAAAGAAAAATAATTTTAAAAATGTAAAACTTTTTTCAAGATAGGGAGGGAGTAATATTGGGGCTCCCTGCTCAATTGTCTAAGACAGGTCTGGGAAGAAGCCCAAATCATTTAGAACAAGATTTTTGGTCACTGATATGAATTATCAGATTATCACCCACAGTGAAGAACAACCTCAAATGGGAATATATATATATTTTTTTTTTTTTTTTTGAGAAAGCAATAAAGGACTCCTGTCGTCAGCCATGAGTTGTCATGTTGCCAGATACATGTTTTTTTCTTCTCTCCTATGGGATTTTGCTTCAGGTAGAAGACTTAGGAAATAATTTACATAATGGAAGCCTCTGACTATTTGCTCTCTGAAAAACCCCTAGACTGATTTTTAATTTCTAAGTAAAGATACTAGAATTCAAATGCTTGTCATTTATTAAACATGAAGGAAGTTTATATGTGATATGGAGGGTTGGAGGTAATTTTATTATGTCATTATGGAACAAGGTTTTGAGAAGCTGGGAGAAGGTACGAGCCTATCAACTCCAGGTGCCACACAGGATATACTTCCTGCCACTGGACACCAGTGCCGAACACAGGTGAAGGTCACTGTAGCTGGGGCAGTTTCCCTGTAGCTCCTGGAAACTCGGTGTAGCAATGCACCCTTGCCAAACACATTCTCTACAGACTCAGCTTTTCCTTATCACCGTGTGCTGAAGCAAAGTCCAGCGTGTGGTCATTCGACAAGGATTCATGTTGTGCTGAGCTGCAGGAATGCTTTTGGGAAAGCGATGGAGGGACATGATCTCTGCTTCCTTTCTAGACTCTCAGAGGGACATCCCTCTGAAGTATAGAGTTCAAGAGGTGAGACAAGTAGCCAAGGGATGGAAAAAAAATGGGAAAAGTCAACTCTTAGACTGAGTAAGTCGGGCAGTGGTGGTGCATGCCTTTAATCCCAGCACTTGGGAGGCAGAGGCAGGTGGATTTCTGAGTTCGAGGCCAGCCTAGTCTACAAAGTGAGTTCCAGGACAGCCAAGGCTATACAGAAAAACCCTGTCTCAAAAAACAAAAAGAAAAAAAAAAAGAATAGATTGAGAAACTACATCCTTTTCCATCTGTGGGAATAAAAAATGGGGAGAAAGGCAGGATGGGAAATTTTAGCAGAATTCCTAGGTTCAGCACCACTTCAGGAATGTTTTTAGAATTATTATCTGAAGACCTAGAGCAGAATCAGGAAATAAGAGAAGGGAGGTACTCCAGAAAAGCCCTCAAATTTCAGCCTGGAGACCTGTCCTAGCTGGCATGTCATGTTCAGTCCCATCAATGTGAGATATTTACCCCTTCTTTCCAAATGTGAGTTAGAACACAATATCCTAGATTGGATAAGCACACACACACACACAGACATATGTGTGTGTGTACATGTGTATGTGTACATGTATATGTAATCTATCTTATACTAACAGTAAGACAAAAGCCCTCAGATATAACCCATTCCCTACCTCTCCGCTTCCTCATCACCATGGCAACCACAGCTCCAGTGAACACAACTCCAAGGAGAACCAGGCCAGCAGTGATTCCCATGATCGGGATGGTGTGCTTAGAAGAGTCTGGGAAGAGAAAAGAAAGAGAGAGAAGGTATGAGCTCTCAGCTCTTACTCATAACCTCCTCAGGGCCTCCAGAAGGGCTTCCACTTTCCCTAATGATCATCTCTGTGTCCACACCACTCCTTACCCCATTTCAGAAGGAGGGGCTGAGTTAGTGCCTCATGTTGCACATGACATGTGTATCTCTGCTCCTCTCCAGAAGGCACCACCATAGCTGCCCACTTCTGGAAGGTTCCATCCCCTGCAGGCCTGGTCTCAACGAGGTCCATGTCCTGAGTCAGGTCCTCTTCATCCCGCTGCCAGGTCAGGATGATGTCTGAAGGGTAGAAGCCCAGGGCCCAGCACCTCAGGGTGATATCACCTTCAGGTCTGGGGTGATGAGCCACATGTGCTTTTGGAGGATCTGAGAAAAAGAGTTGGACAACTCAGGAATCTTGGATTCTTCCCTGAACTGCAGCAGTGTTTATAGACCATTCTAGAAACGGAATGGGTGGGTGAGGGATTTAAGCACCGTATAGTATCCTAGATTCAGGCATCTGGAATAATCTACCCTTTGGAAAACTCTAGAAATAGGTTGATTCAGACAAGACGGACTTCAGGACTCCCAAAGGAGAAAGCAGAAAGGTCCTGACTGGATGAGGGCTGTGAGACTTAGCATCGCTGGAGTCAAGACTCCAAAGAGTCTCAGGTGTGGGCAGAGAACACGGCCTGAGAAAAGCCATGACTCACAAAGGGCTGCAGACTGAAGGGGGCAGCTGTTATTATTTCAGAGATCTTTCCTTCCTTCCTGAGACAAAGTCTCAACTCTCCTGAGAGTCGGAAGAGTCTCTGCCTAGCGTTTGATAAGAAAACCCAGAACATTTTTCCTCTCCAGATGCAAAGAAGAGAAGCAGTATTCTAGCCCAGTTTATTTTCCTCCCTTCCAGGGAGACTGTTAGCCCCAGCCTGAGGGTAGATGAAGGAGATTCCCCGCGGCCGCATGTACCTGCTCTTAGCAGAGTCTCCTTCCCTATCTCCAGGTATGTGCGGAGTGAATCCACACACTCGCCCATCAAGTAGGATCGCCTTTGCTCGGAGACACCGGTCTCCTCCCACTTGCGCAGCGTGATCTGCGCTGGCACATCGCCTGCGGTCCAGGAATGCAGGTCCTCATTTAGGGCGAGGTAATTGCGGCCGTCGTATGCGTGCTCCTCATGCCCACGGAGGAAGAGTCCATCTGGCCCCACTTCGCAGCCAGACACACACTGAAAGACGTGAGAGCCTGGCCCCGCCCCGGTCGTATTTGAACCAAAAACCGTGCACAAAACCCCGTTCAGGATCTCCTCCAGTCCCGCAACCTCGGGCCAAACCTCGGAACTGAGGACCCGGGAACTCAGTGTCGTCCGTAAGGGATGTGAAGGGGTCACTCACCATCCTTGCTGTGGTTGTAGACGCCCATGGCCTCCCGCAAGTTCACTAGGGAATTCTTCTCAATGTCCTTGACGGTTCTGGTCTGCCGCTCCCAATACTCCGGCCCCATCTGTTTCACCCACTGCGCGCGAGGCTCCATTCTCTGACTTTTCCCCTGATTGTTGTAGCACAGGAACTGTGTGTCGTCCACGAAGCCGACAAAGACAAAGGAATGCTTCCTCAAACCTGGCTGGTTCACGGCGGTGGCAAAAAACTGCAAGGAATGGGTGCCTAGCGGCGGAAGAAGACAAAAACCCTTCTTCAGGATTTGTGGAGGTGTTGGGGCCAGAAGGGGAGCAGGGCTTGAGGCTCAGGGTGCAGTTTGGAGAAAGGAGAGGGAGAGTCTGGAGAGGAGATTCAGAGGCGCGGCTTCCCGAGTGCTGTGCACATCCCCCCCACTCCACCCCACCCCATGCCCTCGTTCTCCTTGGCAGAGGCAGTTTCCCTCAGGAACAGTACTCACCTGAGCGGACCTGGGTAAAGGCCCAAGCTCGGGTGAGCAGCAAAGGTAGGAGGGCAGAGAGCGCGGGGCTTCCCATCCTTGGTGTTTTAAGGTCTAGAAGGACTGAGCCTTTGTTCCTCTGTGGATGTTACAGCACTGTGGTGTGTGGGGAGAGACCATGATGACCGAATGGCTTTTTCCAGAATTCAGATATGCAGTGAGTTCAGGTAGAAGGACCACACAATTGACACTGATAGTAAGCTGGAGAAAGGAACTCAAAGTTAAGGAGGAATCCCTAACCCTTGTCTTCTTGTCACCTCAGATACATCCCTTGAAGAGCAGACTGGAGAGTCACATCAGAGACCAGGAATTTTACCACCCTCTTCTTCCCGCGGCTGGTGCCAGGAGCTGTGTCACAACATTTTGTTTCTAGGATCTATCTCTGCACACTTTTACAAACGTTAGGACCTCAGAGAGATATGGCATGTTATATCCGACCACATTTATCATATTAAAAATCGAAAGATAGGTGCTGGTGAGATGAATAGGATCTGGATTGGATTTCCAACATCCATACTGGGCAATTTTGTTTTGTGGCTGTGTAAATGAAATTTCTCAAACTTAGATAATCTGGAGTATGGAAACAACCACTCCAGTTTCTGGGCTCTAAGCCCCTCTTCTGGCCTCCTCAGGCTCCTGCAAACAATGGGTGCGCACACCATACACATGAAATAAAAATAAGTCTTTTTCTTCTTTAACTGAAAGATAAGTCAGCTATAGTGATCCAGGTCTGTATTCTCAGCACTAGGAGTGCTGAGACAGTCTTGTTACAGAGTTTGAAGCCAGTACAGACTATATAAGACTCTGTCGTCACCAAACAAAAACCAGGAAACAAAACAAAAGACATTTGAAAAGTGAAAAAACCCCTTTTATCCTGTAAGTAATCACTGTTGGATAATACAATTGTTAATAAGTCCAATTGCAATTGGGGTCCTTGGCCTAGAGTCATACTAACATGCCAACAGATTAGCCAGCTGTCAGGAAATATGGGAAGTAAATTATAAAAAGCATATCAGGAGGTCATCGGTCCTAAGAAAGCATCTAAGTGACTTTGAGGGTCCCATAGAACATGCTTTAAGACTCAGAGATTAAGAGCATTGGCTGCTCATCAAGAAGTCCTGAGTTCCATTCCCAGCAACCACATGGTGGCTCACAACCATCTGTAGTGACATCTTGTGTCCCCTTCTGGCCTGCAGGCATATATGCAGGCAAAATAATATATATATTCAGTCAGTAGACCACAGTCTCAACTTTGTCACTGATAAACTTCACATCCGGCTGTACATCTAACCATCCCTGACAGACAGATTCCTGTTCCCTCCATATCACGCCTGCTGACGGAGGGTCCAATCGACATGAAAAAAAGTACCATTGGCTGGGTCTGTGAGGTGAAGGGCTGTCCCACAGTGTCTTTAGCAATCCCATTTTGTGGTAGTACAGTTGAAGGGTTTCTCAAAATCGGGTAATCTGGAGATCAAAGGTTAGAACGGGGCCCTGAAGAGGATAGGAACTCCACAAGAAAACCAACAGAGTCAACTAACCTGGACCCTTGAGGCTCTCAGAGACTGAACCATCAACCAAAGTACATACATGGGCTGGGCCTAGACCTCTCTGCTCATATGTGAAGCTTGACCTTCAAGTGAGTCCTGAACAACTAGGGCGAGGGCAGTCCCAAAAGCTGTTGCTTGTATGTGGGATATGTTCTACTAGCTGGGCTGCCTTGTCTGGCCTCAGTGGGAGAGGAAACACCTAGCCTCTCAGAGACTTGAAGTGGCAGGAGTGGGGGTGAGGGAGCATCTGCTCAGAGGAGAAGGGGGGGAAGGATTTTGAGAGAGAGGTGACTGGGAGCAGGGCAGTGAGTGGGATGTAAAGTGAATAAATAAAAATAAAATTAAATTAAATTTAAAATAAAAATGGATGGACAGTATTAAGTTCAGTGTTTCAAAATAAGTTAAGGTCTCTGAAAGAGGTAGCATTAGGCTCGTCTGATGGTGGCAACCAGCTGCTCCTAAAATGTACATGACTGCTTCTTTGGAGGACTCATTTGGACAAAATCAAAAGCATTTTGAGTTGAGCTTTGGCGTGCCCAGAGGTAGCTTATGTCCTAAGTTATAGTAGGCATTTTGCAGATAACTGACATTTGGACCTCCAGGCTTCATAGCCTCGTTTATCAGGAGCTTTCTGAACAATGTCTATAAGGACACACTGTTTTATCTGGTTAAGAAATTATCAGCATATTGTGTGAGAATGGAGCCTTGGGTAGAGGCTATGGAATCTAAAACATCCTTACGTACTAAAGAAAATCCTAAGGGAAACTCACATTATGCCCAAGGTATTGGACTCCAAATTAATTTTCTCTCTCTAAATGCTAGTGCAGAGAGAAATATCAAGTCAAGGTATGAAGGAATCTAAAAGAAAGATGAGCAGAGGCTGGTCACTGTAAACCAGGACATGTCTTCCTGAGGGAATTCAAAGAATTATAGCACTTGGGGTTTTGTTTTCTGCAAATCAAGGTATTTTATTTCTGAGTTCAATTTTCTTCTTCCTTCACTGACAAGATTGGCTTTTTTTTTTTTTTTTTTTTTGGTTTTTTGAGACAGGGTTTCTCTGAGTAGCCCTGGCTGTCCTGGAACTCACTCTGTAAACCAGGCTAGCCTCGAACAAGATTGGCTTTATAGGGCAAAGAAGTAAAAACAAAGACAGCTAAAAGGAAGAAATTATTACACGTTCTTTCTTCTGTATCTTGTAAGAGGTGATGTTAGGCTAGTAAAGAGGAAAGTTTGTTTCCCTTCTCAGGAAGGGCTATCTGTCTGTGGTCAGTAGGAGCCCAGCCACATTAGCATGCGGGTTGGGGCTAGATGAAGCTTCCTGTCACGCATCATTCTGTTATCACAGTATTAAATCAAGATAACCTTCCAAAAGGGCAGTAAGTAGGAAATGTGAGGTCGGCTCTAAGGACATGGAAGTAAAACCACTCCCTTATGATTTTACATGGTAACATTAAACTTATATAACAAAATTCTCTCTAAATATACACACTGGTGAGAAGTCAGAGAACAAAAGAGCCTGCAACACTAAGAGTGCCTGACACTACTACTTAGCTGTGATAGCTGGATAATTAAATAGGTTGTTTACTGACTCCAACAACAGCTCGAGGGGAATCAGAAATGTCAATTATTCACAGTTTCTCTGACCCAAGACTAGAGAAAAATCACAATAAAACTTCAGTTCTGAATCTTCTACTTTCAGCTCTAGGCTGCCACTAAAGATTATTGACTCATTAGGGTATGTGGTTTTATCTTACTGGAGGGGAAAGGGAGCCCCTGGAGGGTCCTGATATTTAAGGAGTATGCTCTTTAAGGATTCCCCAAAAGAAGTAATGCTGTATTGTCTTATTGTCTGTAAGATTTTTTTTTTTTTTTTTTTTTTTTTTGGTTTTTCAAGACAGGGTTTCTCTGTGTAGTCCAGCTGTCCTGGAACTCACTCTGTAGACCACCTGCCTCTGCCTCCCAAGTGCTGGGATTAAAGGAGTGCGCCACCACTGCCTGGTTGTCTGTGAGATTTGAAGGCAAGATTTGCCTTCTTAAGAGCAATGATTTGTTTTTTGTTTTTTTTTAATTTTAGTTAGATTTATTCACTTACTCTTATATGTGAACATTTTTCCTGCATGTATATATGTGCACCATGTATGTGTTTATGCACACAGAGGTCAGAAGAAAGCACCATATCCTCCAGAATTACAGGTGGTTGTGAATCAAGTGGATGCTGGGAATTGAACCAGGAATGCTTATAAAGATTAAGCATTCTTAACCTCTGAGCCAGCTCTACATTTTGTTCACTTAAAAAAATATATTTTCCTACTGGGCAGTGGTGGCAAATGCTTTTAATCCCAGAACTCAAGGGACAGAGGCCAGAGGATCTCTTAGTTTGAGACCAGCCTGGTCTACAGAGTGAGTTTCAGAACAGCTAGAGCTACACAGAGGAACCTTGTCTTGAAAAACATAAATAAATAAATAAATAAATAAATAAATAAATAAATAAATAAATAAATAAATCTCCCCCCTACCCCCAAGCCAGGCATAGTGACATACATTTTTAATTCCAGCATTTGTGAGGCAGTGGTGTTTTGAGGCCAGCATGGTCTATACAGTGAGTTCAACGACAGCCAGACCCTGTTTTTAGCCTTCCTCCCCTACCTCCCACTCAAAAGTTATTTCACTTCTTGTTTTCCTATACATCACTTCCAAAGAATTGTGTGGCCACTTAATTAGGTCTTAAAGAAACCCAAGGCAAGTCTCAAGGTTTGACTCATGGCTTCGCCCAGCATTTCTTGTCCCACCCCTACCTAAACCTCTCCAACCCAGGGGCTGGGCTTCACTTCCCTTTCCCCAGATTCTCTTTTCTGTATAACTCAGCCATTTTGGCTACATGTTCTGTATCGCCCTTTGCCTCTTGGGCCATGGCTCCTCCTCTCTTATCCCTTCTCTCTTTTCTTCCTGTTCGGCTCTCTGATCCCCACCCCCAACCCTCCTCTCATGGCCCTGTTCAGTCTGTACTTTCCAGATGTACCTGGCTGAACTCTCCTTCATATCTACAGTAAAACACAAAAAAATTCTCTTCAACCATTCCTAGTAGCAGCCACATCCTCATTTGCATTCACACTTCCACTCAATACTTAAAGATGGAGCAGCCCAGCCAACTGTACTTCTCTGGGCCTCTTGCTTTAAACTGGAAAGTGAGTTCCTGACCACCATGGAAATTAAAAAAAAAAGTATGTACTCAGATTCTTCAAGGTCTAATACAAACATGTCTGAAAAGTTTGTTTAAACCTTTCAGCAAAACCCTTGAGGTAAACAAACAAACCATGATCCTCAGATTTCTAACTCAGGTATTACAGTTCATACCTCTAATTCTGAAACTGTGGAGGTCAAGCAAGAAGCCTTGTCACAGGTTCTAGGCCAACCTCCAGCTACACATCTAGATTCTATTTCAAAACAAGAACAACAAAAATAGACACACCCCGTTGAGCCAGACCCAAAGATAGGCCACAAAGTCC